TAGGTTCAGGGCTCACTCTTGTTAACAGATTATTAGATGTTTTTAAAGATATAAATATAAACATGTGATATAAACAGGTTTTATTAGGCAACAGCCGTCTATTTCGAAGCATCCATGCGAGTAAGAAGGATTCACGTCTAGCAACTAAATGTAACGCACCGACTGTGAGGCTGCTGCTGTCGTCACTCATTTCAACTTCAGCCATGCAGGAAGCTACGCTAGCTTAGCTTGTTGTGATGCATGAACACTGAAGTGAATGTTTCGTGGACATGTTTAGATTGTTTTCTGCAAAATGAGTGACTGAGATTACATAAATCTAACACTGAAAGATGACTTAACCTTTAACTTTATTTTATTTGTAATGTAACCATTTAATGCATTGCACCAGAGTTAGCCTTAGGCTAATTTACATATGCAGTCCCTTGAAAGGTAACAAATACAACATCACATCAAACATCAATCAGCAAGTAACGGACATGTAACAAATAGCAATGTATTGCACATGAAATGTCCTTCACAGGCACACACACACACCCACGACACATGCACCTTGTCAGCCCCATGGGGAGATAAAACTGAATGAGACGAGAAGTTATAAGGAGTAGTTAACTAACAAAATGAGTGAGTGCATTGTTGAGACTGTTTTTAAGTGATTTTTTATATTAGCTTTAAAGCTACAAAACAAATCACAGTTTTTTATATTGTCTGGAATAGAATTCCATTGTTTAATGGCTTTGACAGAGAAAGCTGCCTGCTCAAAGGCTGAACATTGAAAGGGTACAGTGCAGTAATATATGGAAGCTATTCTAGTGGACCTTACAGAGCCAACGGCATGTCAGATTATTTTAGATATGCTACAAGAGGTTGAAATGTGCACAGAGACCGATTTCAATCAGCGCTGCTAAACCATTTCAGATAATTGGCATTAAAGGTATACTTAGGGTTAGGGTTAGGATTTCAGCGTCTAAATCCCCGCTAGTGTACACTGAGAACATGCAAGTAAAAGTGCACACACACACAGACACACACAGACACACACAACCACACACACACACACACACAGACACACACAGACACACACACACACACACACACACACACACACACACACACACACACACACACACACACACACAGACACACACAGACACACACTACCACACACACACACACACACACACACACACTACCACACACACACACACACACACACACACACACACAGGAGAGAGAGAGAGAGAGAGAGTGTAAGACAGTTTGGCCAGACGACAAATCGGTATAACTGTTGCTAGGGGAGATGAGGCCATCTGTGTGTGTGTGTGTGTGTGTGTGTGTGTGTGAAAGCATAAATACAGCTTCCCTAATGACCCCAGGTTACCTCGGCAACAGCATCCCATTGAGACAAATCTGACAGCAGAATGAAAAAAGAGGAGACGGAGGTGGAAGGGGAAGGAGGGGGGGAGGGGGCACCCTATAAACCACATTAGGTGCACAGCAGGAGTCTCACTCACTCTCAGATCTCGATATTTCATTTATCCGGAGGACTGCCTCCATCTAGCAGACAGAATATTACAAAAATGGAAGAACGAAAAGAGTCAAACTAATTTTTATACAAACGACACTTTTACTAATGTTTTAACAACGACCTGCAGCAAAGAAATGATTTGAACTAACTGGATCTGAAGACTCACAATAAACAACAACAGATGTGTCGTCATAGTGTCTGAAACATTTTCTTCTTCTGTAACGACTCGTTTTATCTCACAGTCGTCAAAAGTCCATTAGTGTTGATGAGCTGCGGGCTCATTAAGCTGTCAGACATGATCAGCTGCTTCATATTCAGCTGCTCTGGTCTGAACAACAGGTGGTCACTACAAGTCCCATGATGCATTGCTGCTGCATACACAGCAGGTAAAGAGATACTGAGGTCCATTCTGAAACATGAACTGAACATTAAGTCTGCACCTCCCATGATCCCTTGCTGCTTTTGTGTTGCTAAGAGAACCAAAGTATTGCATATTTAATCAGTCGTAACTTCTAACGTGACATTGTGGGCTGCCACTGTCCTCTCTCAAAAATAAATCTTACACATCGGCATTGTAAACTTCATGAAAACACACGACAGAAAATCATACACTTTGGATTTTTATGATTTTATCAGTCAAAGTGATCAACACCTTCTGGGATCGATTAATAAGTCTGACTTCGATGTCTCCTCCTGAGTTTGTCGACATATTTAACAGCAGATGAAACACAATCAGTGACCAAAATATAACAATCTGGACTGATGATTGTGGTTATTAAGTGAGTATTGACTGGCTCACCAACACACACCGACACACCGACACACACACACACACACACACACACACACACACACACACACACACACACACACACACACACACACATAGACAACCTGCTGAGGATGTGTAATGCATAACAATAAGCTCTGAAACAACGGAGGGGAGGAGGCCTGTGTGTCTCTGTGCAACCACGCAGATATTATATATATTCATGAGCTTCTTTGTGTGTGTGTGTGTGTGTGTCACCTGGAAGTTGAATGTTTGTGTGTTTGCATCTTGCTGCATGTGTGTCTTCAGACGTGTACGTCTCTGCAGACATGATGATTGAAAATATAGAAAAAGAAACACTCAGTATTTTATTACAGTTCACACACACACACACACACACAAATAATTACCCCCATTTTAATTTGCTTGCAGGTGTTTCTTTCATTTGGCCCCCTGAGTGACGTGTGCTTACAGCTGTATTATTTATGCTAATGGCGGCTGGCAGCTCGTGGTTTGTCAGCTGGTTCTAAGCTGATGGTTGATGTGGGAGTGAACCGCAGGTTACACACTGGATGCTAAATTAGCGTCTGTCCTGCCTGTAGCGTGTGCCTCTGGGAGCTTCTCATTTAAACCTTAAGAAATGTAAAATGAGTGGAAACAGAAAGTTTCTAAAAGACCTTTCAGGTTGAATAAATCATAATGTGATATCTAAAAGTTCAGTTCAGCTCAAAACACACCACCATTCTGTCTGACCACGCCCTTCTTATGATTGCGGTTTTTGTTTTTGTTTTTACGTTGTTGATTGTGATCTTGTTTTTACCTGTGTCTGTAAGGTGACCTAGTTTGGTTGTGAACGCTGTGAGAGACTCCAGGCTGAGGTCAGTGATGAAGTGATCTACTGTATCTACTGTATGTAATCTCTCTCTCTCTCTCTCTCTCTTTAGCAGAAAGGCTCTCTGCGGCCAATGGACAGACAAGGAAATACAAAGGTAGGTCAGACTAGGATATTTCCATCCATCAGGTCTCTAAGCCTGAGTTCTCTTCCTCTTCACTCACCTTCTCTCCACACCCCTTGTATCGCTCATGAATGATATGTGCTAATTAAACATAATAAATCTAATCTCCTGTTCAGGTCAGAGGTCGCAGATCCTCTCAGCCTCCGCTTGACAGACTACAAAACTCCCAGGAGCCTTTGCAGCAGCCTGGGTCTGTCCGAAAGAGTCACAGACGAAAAGGTGTCACTAACATCAGACACCTGCTGATCTCTTTCCCCTCGTCATATCACCCGACTCTTCCTCTCGTCTCTTTCCCCTCGTCATATCACCCGACTCTTCCTCTCATCTCTTTCTCTTCCTCCAGAGAGATATTCATCTTCTTTACAGGATATAATGTTTTTAAATATTTGACATATACTAAGAAATACCTCCAAAATGACCTTAAAACCTCCTTTGACTCTTTAAGTGATGTTTTTGACCTCTCAGGAATGTTAGTCTGCAGCGGGAGCGGGACCGCCAGCAGCTCCATCTATTCTGTTGCCATGATAACAATCCCGGACTGCGTTGACAACGCAACGCAAACCGACATCAGCTTCCACAACATCATGACTGTTGGGAGGAGCAGAGGTGACCACCATGGCTCCTCCTCCCCCCCTCCTCCTCCTACCTCTCCCCCGCTGCCTCATCTCGTGGGACCGTACGGGATCAATGAGTTGTATGTTTGTTCTGACATGTTTTCAGAAGTCCAGACATATGAAATCAATACTGCTGGACGTGATGTGGATTGATTTTTCTGTCTCCCCTGCAGCTGTATGTTTGACTACAACGACCCCGACGACTACTTGGACGTGTCCAACCATGAGGTGGACAGACAGGACAGCCTGGAGTACGAGGTGAGCTGTCGTTTTACTCGATGAGGGAAGTAATGAAATATAAATAAGCAAGACAGTCCAAACCCCTGATGACATCAGACAATCTAACCCTCTTATGACAGCAGGTAGACACTTTAAAATGTCTACCTGCTGTGGTCAAGAGGTTAGACCATCTACTGACGTCAGCAGACGGTCTCATAAAGCAGACGGTCTCATAAGGGGGTTAGACCGTTTATAAGCCTTCTGTGATGTTTACAAACAGCTCAAAGTCTTACAGAGATTCCAGACATCACCAGCTGAAGAAGGGATAGATTGGGAGATGAGATTGAAAAAGAAATGGAAATCAGAGGAAGCTAGAAGAAAATCGAAATGGGGAATATTTTGCTTTAAAACCAAGAAGGCAGATGTTAACCTTTAAAAAGGGAACCCTTTGTCCTAATGGACCTCGTGTTTCTGTTTCTGCTCCATCAGTTTGCTGACACAAAAACCAGTTTGGTCATTAAAGGAGTCAGCAAAGTGGAAACAGTCTCACTCTCTAATACCGCAAGGACTTCCTGTTCTCCCTGGATCACTTCCTCTCTCTGTTCTCTGTTATTTTCTATAGCATCATAATATGTCTCTGAATAACTTCTTACTGTTCTACTCTCTTTGTAATTTACTGCCATCCTTCGTTTTCTCTCTAACTCACCTCCTCCTCATTAGTTCTTCCTTTAATGCCGCCCAGTTTAAATGGTCCAAACTGGTAGCTATGGTTTTTACTGCTCTTTGATGGTCGTTCTTTCATAGCAGCACAAAGTCTTTGATCATCTCAAACATTTCACATTTCATGAATTAACGTTATAAAATTATTTGCATGTTATTTAATGGTTTTTGCAGTTTGTGAAATGTTTTTGCAGCTGACCTTCAGGGTCACTGTACACTCAGCATGTGGACACATTATTGGAGGGAGGGTTTGTGGGTTACATCCCGCATTGACTACTGCAACTCCCTTCTCTTTGGTCTACCTCTCAAGTCCATCCAACAACTTTAACTGGTCCAGAACTCTGCTGCTTGCATCCTCTCCAGAACCCCCTCTATTAATCACATCACCCCAGCAGCTTCATTGGCTTTCGGTTAAATATCGCATCAACTTCAAAATTCTGCTCCTCACCTTTAAGGCCATCCACAACCTCGCTCCGCTTTACCTCACTGAACTCTACTTCTTCCATTCACCTCACTACACCACCTGCCTGCCTGTCCATGATGGGGTCCAAGGCCTTCAGTCACTCTGCCGCCCACCTCTGGAACTCCCTCCCACCACACATCCGTAATATTGACTCTCTCTCCATCTCCGGTCTCATAAATCCACCACATCCTGTTAATTTGTCTTTTTAATGCTAATTTTATCGATTTATCGTTAATTTGTTGTTTTTATCTTTGCTTTGTAAGATGACCTTAAGTGTTTTGAAAGGCATCTTTGAATAAAAATGTATTATTAAAATTATGCTTTCACACTTTCATTTGTTAATTTTTATTTGACTGATTTGGGATTTATTTTGCAGACATATATTTGTTTAAAACAGGGAGAACAAAAGCAACAGAAAAGGTTTAAGTAAGATAATATGCATGTTTTAATATTGTTTATGTATATAATTATTGCAGTATTTAACAATGTATCTTTTCTTCAGATTGGACACCTGACCTGACAATCAGAGAGACCTTCATTCATTACTGTGCACTTCTTATGTTCAGTCCAAGTTCAATAATGAAATAATCGTCCGTTTGTTGATTTATTTATCTAATAGGGACAATGCAATTTAACATAGTTTCAATACATACATGAAACTGATGTGCTGCATAAAGAGTATATAGCTATTGCTAATTTCAATGGTGTCCATAGTTGGGCCATGTTTTAAAGCTGCTTAAGGAGAGTCATGCCTCGCTCAGAGACTCACAGGTGACAGAATTGGTTGAAAAGAAATAAGATGTTGTTTTTATCAGGATGACTTGTAGCTACTCCACCTGAAACTCATTTCATGGGGTAAAGTCTGCTGTGTGGTCTAAAGTCCAACGAAAGATCAGCACTGTCGCTCAGATTATTCCTCTGTTTTGTAACACCATGTTCTCTCCAGGAAGTGGAGCTCTACAAATCCAGTCAGCAGGACAAGCTCGGTCTGACCGTCTGCTACAGGACGGACGACGAGGACTATCTAGGGATTTATGTTGGAGAGGTGATGATGATGATGGAAAATATTCATCTACCCTTCATCCCTTCATTCACACAAGTTTACTCCCACCCCCTTCTCGAGATTTCATTTTTTACCTGTTCTCCTATTGTGGGGAACTACCTGAAAGTCTATTGGCCATGGGTAATTCTGTTTGCTTCAGTTCATCACTCCTCTTTCTCTTCATGCAGGTTTTTACACAAACAGTATTATTTCTTTATTTATTTACTGCATTTGAATCATTAAATCACCTTTGAGTCATTCATGGAAACCAATTACTTTTTCATTCATCCATCCAGAGTACTGATGGTATTCATGTTTTCATTAAGTCATCATGTATTCATCTGTCTCTCCACCTTTCCCTTCAGGTGAATCCAAACAGCATAGCAGCAAAGGACGGACGAATCAGAGAGGGCGACCGCATACTGCAGGTACACAAACTCCTATTTAGACTTAGACGTTGTGCAGGCCGGCCGTCCACCAACGATCCCGAGGAGCTTAAGAGAGCTCAAGAACTCCCAGGAAAATATGTGGTTAGGGACTGAGATTTACAGATATAGCGACATGCTGTAATATGATGTACTGTATATGCACAAAGAGAGAGAGAGAGAGAGATAAAAGCTCAAGGTGCCAGTTCCCCCAAGTAGTCTAAGCCTATAGCAGTATAACTAGGAGCTGGTCTACACCTGCGCCAGCCCTAACTATACATACATTTAGAGACTGTAGGTACCACGAGCAGGTCTGATAACTGAAGGCTCTACCTCCCATAGTACATTTAGAGACTGTAGGTACCACGAGCAGGTCTGATAACTGAAGGCTCTACATCCCATAGTACATTTAGAGACTGTAGGTACCACGAGCAGGTCTGATAACTGAAGGCTCTACCTCCCATAATACATTTAGAGACTGTAGGTACCACGAGCAGGTCTGATAACTGAAGGCTCTACCTCCCATAATACATTTAGAGACTGTAGGTACCACGAGCAGGTCTGATAACTGAAGGCTCTACCTCCCATAGTACATTTAGAGACTGTAGGTACCACGAGCAGGTCTGATAACTGAAGGCTCTACCTCCCATAATACATTTAGAGACTGTAGGTACCACGAGCAGGTCTGATAACTGAAGGCTCTACCTCCCATAGTACATTTAGAGACTGTAGGTACCACGAGCAGGTCTGATAACTGAAGGCTCTACCTCCCATAGTACATTTAGAGACTGTAGGTACCACGAGCAGGTCTGATAACTGAAGGCTCTACCTCCCATAGTACATTTAGAGACTGTAGGTACCACGAGCAGGCCTGCATTCTGGGACCGTAATGTTCTTGAAGGGGAGAACGCCACTATTAGCGCTTAAAGATAAGATGGTGTCTGACCATTTAGAGCTTTGTAAGTGAGAAGAAGGATCTTGAATTCTATTCTAGACTGTATGGGGAGCCAGTGCAGAGAAGTCGGTACAGGAGTAATGTGGTCCCTTTTCCTAGTTCTGGTCAGTACACAAGCTGCAGCGTTCTGGACCAGTTGAAGAGTCTTTAGAGACTTACCAGAGCACCCTGACAAAAGAGAATTACAATAATCCAATCTGGAGGTAACAAATGCATGAACTAGTTTTTCTGCATCATTTTGTGACAGGATATTCCTGATCTTGGATATATTACGAAGGTGAAAATAGGCTGTTCTTGAAATTTGCCTGATGTGAGAGCTAAAAGACATATCTTGATCAAATAGAACTCCTAGATTCCTAACAGTGGTGCTAGATGCCAGGCTGATGTCATTAAGGACAGCCATATGCTGAAAAGGTATCTAGGGTTGCTTTTGTTTTCCTCGATTAGAGAGGAGTAGTAGGCAGCTCGAGCATGATGTAGAGCCTTTATATATTTATTATGACTATCCTGCCAAAATAAACGAGATTCTCCTGTTTTGGTAGAGCGCCATACTCTTTCAATAAGTGATGGGTTATATGTGGGGATATCTATGTGATGGGTTATATTTTGGAAATGTTAATTATCTTTCTGTGCTTGTTTCTGCAGTAGCTTGATGAAACTAAACTGTTAAAAATTTTAATAATTCATGTCGGAAAATAACGTTTCACTGAATTTCCCCCGGAGGACTAATAAAGTATTTCTGATTCACATTAACGAGTCAGAACTATAAATATTTCATCTTCTCCAGATTAACGGAGTTGACGTTCACAACAGAGAGGATGCGGTCGTCATATTGACCCGAGAGGACAGCATCAACTTCTCCCTGCTGCTTGCTCGACCCGATACAGAGGTGACAACAATACCCAACACAACATCACACAACAATACCAGTCAGTCCCTCTATGCAACCACAGATCAATATCCAGCTTGGAACAACCAAACTCATGCCCACAAAGTCTACCCGGAGCCTGGGTGCCATGAATGATGACCAGCTAACATTTAAGGTTCGCCATTTGCCCTGTACAACATCAGGAAGATCAGACCTTACCTGTCAGTACAAAATGCAGCAGCATGACTGGTCTTCAAGCTTCCTAAAAGAGCACATGTCACTCCACTGTTCATCTCCTCACACTGGCTCCCAGTTACTGCTCACATCAAATTTAAAACTCTACTGCTCACTTACAAAACAGACACAGAAACGTCTCCTCCTTACTTTAACTCTCTGATCCAGGTCTACACTCCCTCCCCCCCACTACGCTCTGCCAATGAAAGGTGTCTGATCCAACCTTCACAACAGGGTCCTAAGTCTCTGACTAGACTCTTCTCCTCTGTCGCCCCCCGGTGGTGAAATGAACTTCCAGAGTCCCTTTGCATCTTTAAGAAAAACCTAAAGACCCAGCTCTTTTTGAACACTTACAAAATTTAGGTATAGATGATAATGATGAGGATTTTGATGATGATGGTTTCTGTTTGATAATGACAATGACGTAATTTTAGATGGTTTTGATGCTGATTAGAACTCTCAAGATCAGCTGTCGATGTTTTGCATTGCATCTGGTTACTTGCTGTCAGCACCTGTGCTCTGTCTTTGGTCACTTCCTGTCAGCACCTTTGGTCACTTCCTGTCAGCATGTGTGTCCAATCAGACTTCAAGCTTTGTTTGCACTTCCTGATGTTGTTTCCTCCTCTCTAGTTCCTTGCCTGGGTTGTACTAACTCTCTGATGTTCGCTGCTTAGGATAAAAGCGTCTGATAAATTAATTGTCGAATTGAAGAACAACACACACCAACAACACAACATCATAACAACACACAACACAACCTGTTCACAACACAACCTCCCATCATGTGTGCAAAGACACATTATCCTGAAGCCATACCCCCGCGTTCACTTAAAGCTAAAGCAGTTGTCTGCAAGCTCGTGAAATTCTGCACTACTTTCAGTTTACCAAAAGTTATTCAGACAGGTCAAGGCAATAATTTCTGTCCAAGGTTTGTAATCAGGTTCTGTACGTCAGGGAGCCAGGGAGCCCTTGAACTATTTTACCAGACCTTCAGTTACAAGCAACACACTTACTGTCTTTTAAATGACCCTGAGTGGGATGAAGGTATTCCATTCTTGTTGTTTTAACCCATGAAACAGTGCAACAGTCACTGAGGTTCAGCCTTGCTGGGGTTCAGCCCTGCTGAGTTGCTTTTTGGCCACACAGTCAGGAGACCTTTGAAGTTGCCCGCAGGAGCAACTAATGACAGAGTCCCATTCCAACGTAAACTTGCTTGACTATGTAAGTTTCTTTCAAGAGCGTCTCCACAATGCCTGTGAAACAGCTAAACAGGCCATGGCAGATTTCCAAGTTAAGATGAAACAGCAATTCTACAAAATGCTGTTAAGCGTTCTTTTCATCTAGGAAACTTGGTACTGGCCCTTTTGTTGTTGAAAAGAAGCTGAGTGACACTAATTATATTATTGGTACTCCAGACAGAAAGCCAAAGTCTTGTGTTTGCCATGTGAATATGTTGAAGTCTATTCTAAACAGTCTTGACAGTCCAGAATGACAGTTTAGCTGTTGCAAATGGTTTCAATGAGTATTTTCTTTATTCTGTTTTAGAAATGGCTAGCAATTTCGCTGAAATGCTATTTATGTCTGACCCTGAATACTGAGAAAACTGTGGCCATGTATTTTTTTAATAAACACAAAAATATGTTTTTTCAAAATATTTATGAAGATGGGCAAATGATAAAAAACTAAAATTATTTGAAGTACTTGGGTGGTACAATAGACCACGACCTTACTTTCAAAAGTCATATTAAAATATGTGCCAGAAAGTTAGATATAATATAGCAAACATTAGAACTCAATACAGCAAATCAGCCGCCCTGTACAACCACCCTGTTTTAATTACAATCCGTTTATTTGTAAACTATCATAACTGAAATAATGACTATACTATCACTGCCAGTATGTTGACCGAGTACAAATCACTTCCTTATATTTAAACAAAGTAAAAAAACACAAGTAGCTTTTACAGCTGTTTTCTTCACAACATGGATTTCACAGTGTTCATGGTTGGCTTTTGTACTGTGTGTGTTCATATGCACATGAAAAACACAGCCATGATAAATGTCCCTTGTATGACAGCCAGTCCCAGAGTGTGTGTCCAAATCTGCTGACAGAGTGTTCTGCAGAACGGTATATTGTTACATGCCAGTTAAATACACACAGGCCCCAAGATTGTTATACTTGGAGTGAATTAATGAGCCATCAGTCGGGTGGGAGGCAGTCAGGCAGGCTAGCGGTCTTTGTAGACTGATAGCAGAGCTTCTTAGATCTTGGTGTAATGAGAAGGAGATGATGTATGTTTTATCTACTCTGCAAATCAATCAGTGTGTTATGTAGAAGCAGCTTCAAAGAAGGAGACAGATGTCTCATGTAGAATCCAGAAAAGTGTACTTTGTATTCACTTGCTTCTTTTATTGTCCTTTTTAATGTTTGTGATGAACTGATGAACTAAAAGGTTTAGATCATCTTTTAATATACAGATCATAGTCCTACATCTTTAATGGGGGCTTTTTATTGAATGTATTGTCTCTTTAGCACTAAATAATACATGACATGGAAGTTTAGGTAGGTTTTCTGACTGCTGCAGCCTCTAGGGGTCACTGATGAGACTTCAGGTTTAAAAGCCATCTCACAACTTTCTGATTTGGTCCAGACTTTGACATCTCTCAAAATAAAAACAGGAAAACATTCAAAACTCCCAAGTCACATTATAAAACTAAGTAACCAAGTGAAGCAGGAGTAGACCAGCAGTTCTCCCATTCTGCTGGGTCAAATCTCTGGTTTTGTAAATGGAGTCAACTGACTTTGAACTGCTGCCACTGGTTTTATTCAAAGCATCTTACTCATTAAGAGTAAGATGCTTTAAATCTTACTAAGCTTTACATCTTACTCAAACTAAAAGGTGATCTCCATTATAATGCTACCAATAGATTGAGGACCCAGTCTGAAAACACACTTTAGGACAACATGGACTTTGGGAGCTAACCTGCTCACTTCACAACAACGTGCAGTGACGGTACACAAACAGATGAAGGTAACAGAGATGGATGAAATGATGCTAGAATACAATTATCTGATTTCACAGAGTTTCTTTTTCCGTCAAGGTCACACACATACACAGACACAAAGATCACACATACACAAACACACAGATGTGGGTTCGTAGAGAGTATTACAGTCATGACAGAGTGACTAAATCCATCGCAAAGACTCTTCTTACTCATTAAATTGACCCCACTGCAATCATTCTATCTTTAGGAAAGACGATTTTTTAAAAACATATATACAGTTTCGCTATCCTAACTGCAGCTCAACTGCTCAATCATTCTTTCACTCTTTCCAGAACGAGCACCCTGTGGATCCAGAGGAGGTCATGGAGCGGACTCTGGAGAGCGGATGTTCCCACCCAAACCCCCGAGCCTCCTCCTGCTCCGTCACCTCCTCTCACCTCTCTGGATATTACCACCTCTGCCGTGGAGTAGGAGGAGAAAGTAAAGAAGCAGGCGGGGACATGGAAGAGGAGGAGGAGGAGGAGGAATATGGGGAGGAAGCAGAGAGAGGAGAGAAGGAGGACGGAGCGTCTCCTGTGCCCCTCCCTCCTCTGCTCAACCTGGCTCCTCAGCTATCTAACAGTCAGGAGCTGGACAGCGGAGTGGGCCGCACCGATGACAGCACTCGTTACGAGGAGTCGTCTGAACACGACCTGCTGGGTGATCACTCCAGCGCCTGTAACACCAACACCACCAACACACCTGGCAGCACCCGCAAGTTCAGAGCTGCACCCAGCCCAAGGTGAGAAGAGGGAGGGGGTTAGACCAGGTCCTACAATTGTAGTTCATTACTGTTCATCCAAACAGCCAACTAACTACAACAACAGATTCATTCATTCATTCATGCATTTAATTTGATGTCACTGTGGCTTAGTTTAATGATAGACCCTGCCCTAACCCTAGCCATCAGGGGTCAGGGTCAGGTGCTTCGGTTGATCAGAACGTTTGATCCAGATAATAATGATCTGGATTTGGTAATACTCCTTGTTCTACCAAGGATCAGGTAATCCAGCTCTTTTTTATCCCAGGTGTTCAAAGAAAGACTGGATGTGATCTACCTGAATTTATCACCTGATGATAAATTATTACAATGAGAAATACATTTTCATGCATGATTCATGAAACTATAAAATCAAATTATCTTGGATTACATATAACTTGTTTTTATCAACCCAACTTAATACATAAACGTCACATCCTCATTATTTTAAAAGAAGCAGAATCCTGCTATTTACCACTCGAGTCCATCTTCATATTTCTTGAGTCCTAGACCCAGCCCCGGCCTAGGTCCTAGTCCAGGGCACGGCAGAGGAGACACCACCCCTACTTTCCTCCACCTACGAGACCTCCAGTTCAGCTCTGACTCCCTCCCCAGCCTGGACTGGGCAGCTGGAGGAGGAACAGGAGGAGCGGCATGCAGTCCCCATAAGCATCACCTCCACAAGGTATAACACAGAATCATCTATTCCAAGGAGGTGCCTGTTAGTTCCCTGGTTGGCCCCTTGAAATTGGCCCCCTGAGTGAGTCAGTCCCCATAGAGCGCCATATTAAAATGTCTAACTTTACAACTGCAGTTCCTCCAGTGTCCACTAGAGTCTGTCTCCTGCAGTGAGTCAGTTCCCATAGAGCCCCATGTTAAAATGTCTAACTTTACAGCTGCAGTTCCTCCAGTGTCCACTAGAGTCTGTCTCCTGCAGTGAGTCAGTCCCCATAGAGCCCCATGTTAAAATGTCTAACTTTACAACTGCAGTTCCTCCAGTGTCCACTAGAGTCTGTCTCCTGCAGTGAGTCAGTTCCCATAGAGCCCCATGTTAAAATGTCCATCTTTACTTTATTTACTGTTACTTAAAAACATTTGTTATTGTAACTAATGTATTATCTTGTCATTTATTTAATTATATGAATCTAGATTTATAGTTTTTGGTATCAAATGTACTTCAACGAAATTAGAAGGGAAAAAATTAAACAATACATTATTTTACATTATTTCTCAAAGTTGTTTTTTTTGAGGACACTTATATAGTATACCGTTACCCTAACCCTAACCCTAACCCTGCAAGTCCAAACAGAATGCACATAGCTTTTGTCAGATCCTGAATCTTGTTCATCCCAACTTGTCCCTCCATTGTGTTCATCAGTGAGACAAAAAATAAAAACTGAAATGTAAAAAAATTAACATTAACTGAAAAAAAATAAAAAAGCTTTACCAAAAAATCATCCCAGCTCCCATGTTTTAAACTGTAATGTTTTAATAGATGAACACACTAAAACAAACTGTTAACTGACCAAGCTAACGTTAGCACTTAAAATACTTTGACATTGAGATCAAAGCCTTTCTCTTGTGTGCAAAGTCTACATTTTAAAAAATGAAGCAATTAAACACTTCCACAGCTTTATGTTGTTATCTGGATTCTGTTTACTGACCTTTGACCTGCAGCACTACCACCTCAATCACCACCAGCCATCTCTGACCATGATGATGCCGGGCCTGACCGAGGAAGAGTGCCAGAGGTACCAGGAGCTGCAAGAGATCAAGTGTGAGTACGAGAGAGAGATGGAGAAACGGCAGAGAGAAACAAAACAAGAACACATCAAAGCAGAGTTGAACGACCAGGGACGGAGAGCAGAGGCGGGGACGGAGGGAGAGGAGGAAGCCTCTTCTTCTTCTCCATTTGTGGTGGATGTGAACTGCAACCCAACACCGAGTGAGCACGAGATGGCGCTGATTGAGGAGGAGTTACGCCACCTGGAGTTCAAGTGCAGAAATATCCTGAGAGCTCAGAAGATGCAGCAGCTCAGAGAGAGATGTCTGAAGGCCTGGATGATGGAGGAGGACACAGTGGCAGGTGGAGCAGGGCGACCCGGCACACCTGAAGCAGGTAACTATGAGAACTACAGGGAAGGGGATCTACACCAGAAATCCTGTTTGATTTCAGATATTTTGAAACATGAATGTCAACCTGAGCAGAGTTTTTAAGAGGAAATTCCAACTCATTCTTCTGACATTGTGGTTGTACATGTAAAGTCACAGCCAATCAGACTCCAGAAACTCTGAGGTCTGGACATACAAACATCATTATCTTTACACTTATATGTACAGGTGAAACAAATGAGATACAGAGAAACATATGTTTTAAAGTGATGCTAGCAGGTAAGACACTAAAAGTAAACTTTGGAAGTGAAAGAGATTTTCGTTTGAATCTTTTGAAAGTTCTGGTTTAGAAGGTCCAAAAGCTAAATATGCTAAATGCTCTCGTTGCTTCTAATACCACTTCTATGCTGACGATACCCAGCTCTTCCTGTCATTACGTTACAGAATTTCAGCATGCCTTGCTGATGTCTCTAAATGGATGAATGAACGCCAGCTCTCAAAGACTGAGCTCCTTGTCATCCCAGCCAGTCCCTCTATGCAACCACAAATCAATATCCAGCTTGGTACAACCAAACTCATGCCCCCAAAGTCTGCCCGGAACCTGGGTGTCATGCTTTTTTAAATAGTTTATTACAGGTTTCACAAGTTGAGAAATTTCATCACTTATTTTTCAGGATCTCTCTGATGCTTGATGCTGACCTCTGACCTCTGGTCCAGAGTAACTTACCTAAACACATTTTGACATGACTCTAAGGATATCAACAAACATCTCCCTGTATTAACTCCCTTTACATCCCTGTGTGATAAGGTTTTAATCATTCTGAATTACAAATGATTGAATATTTAATATCAGTTAGGACATAATGTAAAGACCAAAATCACAAAATGTTACAAATACACAAAATTCCTTACTTTTAGGTATGGATAACGATGATGATGACCTCCATCGTCACGAGTTGTCGGCTATAAACGAGCTCCCGGAACGAGAACGGTCTGACGACAAAGACAGCACCAGCGCCTACAACACCGGAGGAGAGAGCTGCCGGAGCACGCCATTAGTCAGCACTGAGCAGATCCCGCCTCTCCAGGAAGAAGAAGATGAGGGAGTCAGACGACTGATGTCTCCACCTCCTTTTCTCCCCCTCAGTCGCCTCCCCCCTTTGAACTCTCCGCTCACCCCCCGGCGTCATGGGCAGGACAGAGACAGAGAGAGACGACACTCAAACCTCAGCTACACCTTCTCCCCCAGCACTTACAGGCAATATGAAAGAGCCAATGGCAGTGTGGATTGCGGCTCCAGCTCCACCCCCTCTACACCTTCCAAGTTCAGGTCTCCTCTAACCTTATAGTATTGCTTTTTACCAACATTAAAACAATGATGCTTCTATCTTTCGAGACTTGGACTCCAATTCAGCCATTTAAGTTGTGTTTCAAATGAGCAGTACAAATGTTTAAAAATGACTGCGGGAGTTTTCTTCAGGCTGCAGCAAGGAAACAGGATGTTGTTATTCTTTGTTTTCTGACAGTTTCAAAGAAAACATCCCTACAGCCATGACAAAAAAAACCATTAAAGTACTTAAATAGACTGGCTTTGCTGGTGTATCGCTGCTTTCATGTGTTCATTGATTATGTTATTGTTTGTGACACATAAACCTGTCGGATCCCACACGTGGCACGCCACATCCATCTTAAAGCGTCTTTTCTGTTATGCATTCAAACACTTACACTAACAGTCTGAGACTGCGTGAGTGAATTACATCATATTCATTACAGCCTCTTTGGCTGCTGTTGATAAAAACAATCTATTGGGGTGTTTCCAAAAAATGTTGCACCTTTGAGTCAACACCCTGAAAAATGGGTCCAGGTTTTAGGAGGACCCTCTGATTCACCTTGTTGGTTAGGGTAGAATACTGTATTGTGTTTGGAGTTGAAGAATCATTGAATATATGCTGGTTTGTTGTAATCATTAGGTCCCTAACAAGAGAAGTGGGGTTATCTTCAAGAAGGGGTGTGGCTGATGGAGGGCGAGGCTCCAGAGCAGGTATAAAAAGTCGCTTCAGTTCAAAAAGTAACTCTGAGGAAGCTTTTGCCCAAACATTCTGAATAAATGTTTTTAAAGTAATCTGTGACTGTGGGCTCAATGTAAGGAGTATACTTTTACTTGTATCACTACAGGTGGTGTCCCCAACAGGCCTGGAGGTGGAAGTGCAGATTCCAGTCCATATTTCACCAGAAGGCACCACAGCGGCAGTAAACCGTTAGAGCGCTACCAGAGCTGCATGACCCTGCCCTCTGAGGGGCTTGTGGACCCTCTGGACCGGGTGAGGGATAGACCCAGGGCAGAGGGGGAGGAGAGAGGGGTGGGCACAGGTAGCAGTGGCCCAGCAAGCCCCAGGAGTGTGAACAGTGCCCCCTGTGGTCTGGATGATCACCGTGCATCACGGTTAGGACTGGCTTTACCACTCGGACTGACGCAATCATCAGCAACTGCTTCACCTCAGCGCATGGAATGGAAGGTAAATGATAAGATGAAGTAGTCGGATGAAGAAAACAAACGTTAGTGAGGTGTTCAATCCAGAGTTTGACGCCAAGTCTCACTCCTGGATTCTTTGGTTTTGGTTTTAAGTGATGCATGAAACAGATTCATGCCAAAACCAAAAAGGCTGTAGAAAATCTTTGAGTGGTTGAGCGACAAGTTGAATCAACTCAGCTTAATTCAAGCGTTCATATTTTGAGGGATTCTTTAGTGCAGATTTCATAATGTTAATGTTTTTTTTTCTTTTCTACAAAACATTCTGGATCAAAAACAGAAGTGAGCAACTTTGATTATTTCCCACCTGTGTACAGAATCTGTTTAACATAAAGTCTAGATACAACTTTCAGAAGTTTAATTTAACTTTGACATTTTTTGATGAATGTATGTTTAATTCATACATTCGGAAACACTAAACACATAAAGCGATCTGATCCCACTCCATGTTTATAAAGGAGCGAGGAGAAGGGTAAACCTTTTTATTTAACTGCCCAGTATACTCAAAGAAAGAAGCAAGTGCTCTCTCTCGATGGTCCATCCAATTACAATCACCTAGCAACCAAAACCACAAAACAACAAATCTAACTGATTCAGTCTTTGACTTCACTTCCACATTCTATAATTCTACAATTCACTTAGCAGACACTTTTATCCAAAGCGACGTACATCAGAGAGTAAGAACAACACAAACAAGGATCTAGAAAAAAGGGAACAGTGTGAGTAAGAGCAAACGATCAGCTTTGAGTCTGATTGGACACACAGGTGCTGACAGGAAGTGACCAGAGGCAAAGCACAACATTGAGGGCAGTTCTTGAGAGCTCTAATCAGTATAGAAACCATCTTATAAGTCGTCGTTATCAAACAAAAACCATCGTCATTACCATCATCATCATCAATAATATGGAGACCATCATCATTAAGTTAGTAGGTATTCATGAAAGAGCTGGGTCTTTAGCTTTTTCTTAAAGGTGCAAAGGGACTCTGCAGATCACATGGAGTTTGGAAGTTCATTCCACCACCGGGGGGCGACAGAGGAGAAGAGTCCCTGTTGTGAAGGTTGGATCAGACGGATCAGACATACAAACAAAAAAACAACAGAAGTGTCTAATTTCATACAGTCTAATGATTCTTGTTGTATTAAACCCTACAGTGTAGGGTTAGGGCTTAAATGAAGCTCACGTCTGTTTTAAACACATGATTAAAATTAATGTCCTCGTTTTGTTCCTCATCTTCTAAAATAAAAAAAAGTTCTGCATATTGTCTGTTTCACTCCTTGAACTCTCTGTCGTCCACTTTTTTGATCATTCTAACTGATCTTTTCTGAAAGGTAAATCATAGTTTGATTTTTGTAACGTATGTGTTACCCCACACTTCAGGATGGGCTCTGAGTTAATGTCAACGGGAACCTTAAACTTACCTAAACCTTAACAGAAATATAATAAGATGGTGTTACACACCTTTGTTCATCGTCCATGATCACACCTACTTTTATTACTCTTGTGACATTCATTTCAGCTTCATCAAAGCCTGCATGTACACTGTATGTAATGATTCTGTTGTTAATGTGCACACCCTTTAAATGGACCCCCTCCAACAGAGGAACCAAACTTTAAAGCAGTGAAATGGAAGAGGAAGAAAACAGCTTGGGAATGACTTCAACGAGCCAAATTTAAAGTCAGTGTTTTGAAAAGTTTTGCTTTTAGATTGACCATGAAGCGACTCATTTGTCTGCTCTGTGTTCAGGTTAAGGTCCGCAGCGATGGCACTCGATACGTGGCCAAGCGGCCGGTGAGGGATCGTCTCCTGAAGGCGCGAGCAATGAAGATCAGAGAGGAACGCAGCGGTATGACGACGGATGATGACGCTGCCAGTGAGATGAAACAGGTAGAGTCTGAACAGTGATTGGACAGTTTCAAAATATCTTTTTTTTTACCTTGAACGGAGCTAATAAAAAATATACTGCAACAACATCAAGAATGACCATCATTGTACACGTTTTAGGCTACATGTAGCCGAAGCAGGTAGCAACAAGTTAGCGTCAAACAATGTCCAAGAATAGATATTACCTGATCAGTATTGACAAGTGTGTCGGACTATGACATATTTGTAATTTCATCTCAGAAGAATAAAAAAGACTTAAACTTAAAGCAAGCAAACATGATAGTGATGATAGCACAATTAGCAATAATTTAATAAAAAGTAGTCAGTTTACATGACTCATGTTTGACCTACAAACATTGATTGAGCAAATAAAGACTCATCTTTAGTGTAATCATCTGACGAAGGTAGAAACTCAATCAGAAATCTTCACCTCTGATTCCATTTATAATCTATTTGAATTCGCTACCTACAGTATGTCTTCCTTTATCATCTCCACCTCTTCTTGAGTGTTTAGACTTTAATCCCAGTTCATTCAGTGACACACCGCTCTATAAACCAGTGAACGTCTTCCAAACAGGGACGATACTGGAGCAAAGAGGAGAGGAAGCAGCAGCTGTTGAGAGCAAGAGAATACCGACGAAGACGAGAGTTCATGATGCAGAGCCGCCTCGACTACCTCAAAGGAGACAGGTATGTTATGAAATATGACTGCAGTATGTAGAGCCAGCACAGTGAGGTCATAGAATATATCTATGTTCATTTGTTTTCACATCTTATGTGACGTTCAATTAATAATTCAAGTAATTTATCTTATTTAAAAGAAGTTGTGTTTGTGGACAGTACAGCTCATTTGAGTTCTTTAAAATTAGTGTTTTCCGGGGTGCTGGTGGTGCAGTGGTTAGTCCACGCACCCCATGTATGGAGGCTGTCGTCTCAAGTGGGCGGCCCGGGTTCGCATCCCACCTGTGGCTTCTTTCCCGCATGTCATTTCCCACTCTCTCTCTCCCTGATTTCTGACTCTATCCACTGTCCTATCGCTCCATTAAAGGCATAAAAAGCCCCCAAAAAAATAAAAAATAAAAAAATAAATTAGTGTTTTCTAGGTGTATTGTCCCTTTGAAGACCTCACAGTTAACCCTTTCAGTTTCTCTGCTGATAATCCATCAATCAATCTTCATGGAAATCTGAAACTGTGAAGAAGACATAGGTTCATCTTTGGTCTGTTTGCATTGAACAAAGACTGACACTCAGATCCAACACAGAACCTTCACAGTCTTTTTCTAATTTTTAAAAAGTTATAGGGTTAGACCTTACCCTAGAATAATAAAGTTCCAGTTTTTTACGGCTCTGTCACACTTGGGGTTAACCTTAACCCTACTTGAACTAGCTTTCTTCTCACAGCTGTTTTATCAGCAGTTGTAACTCTCACGAAAAGTTCAGTAAACAGATTAAGTCATGGAAATTATGAAAACATCTCATGATTTAATCTTTATATTTAGATAAATTTTCAGAAAGTTTAATAAAAATAGTTAGACGGGATTCCAACAGAAACAAATAAATAAACTGATTAGAAGACATTTTCAAAATGATTAAAAAAAGGGATAGAGAAACCCAATTAATCAAATTTTTAATTCAAACGTAACGCACTTTTGTAAGTTGACTTTATTACTGTTCCGTTATTCATGATTCTGTCAGTGTGTCTTTAAAACATAAAAGTGGGGGCGCGCTGGTGGCGCAATGGTTAGGGCACGCGCCCCATTGATCAAGGCTGTCGTCTCGAGCAGGAGGCCCGGGCTCGCCTCCACCCGTGGCCCATCTCCACATCATTCCCCACTCTCTCTCTCTGGTTTCCGACTCTATCCACTGTCCTATCTCTCCATTAAAGGCACAAAAAGCCCAAAAATAAATCTTTAAAAAACAAAAATTGATCAGGATCTATATTTTGTGCATGTGGACAGTGTGTGTGTTAAAATACGGTGGTCTTTGTAAAAGTAACTGCTTGTGGTTTTCTGTTCAGGGACTCTTCATTGTTTATGGGGGGAGGAGACGACCTTCATACAGACCAGGTTCAGCCCCGACAAGACTCCTCCAACAATAACATCCTGTTACTGAGCCAGAAGACGACCATGAAGAAGAGGAACCGACGGATCCTCGACAACTGGATCACCATCCAGGAGCTGCTGGCTCATGGCTCCAGATCACCCAACGGAAAGAAAATCTACAACCCCCTGCTTTCAGTGACCACAGTGTGATCTGTAGACAGAGATAAAGTTATAAAAGAAAACAATGTTTAATGGCTGGATGGGAGATAAGAAGACTTAGGTAAGGCTTTAAAGGACAAAAAGAGGGATTCAAAACATTTCGGTTTCTAGAGGAAAGAATTTGAGGAAGACTATGACGATGGAGATATGGGGAAAGAGTGGTAGAAGGAAAAGGGGAGCCAAGATACATGACCAGTCTGAGATTGTGCTTTAAAAGGGAGAGTAACAAAAAGTTGAAGAGAACCCCAAAGCACAAAAATTATAAGTTGGAAATATGTCTTGAACTGTGCATGAAACTGAAAACAGGAACTACTAAACAACTTTAAATGTAAGAGAAGTGAACAAACAGCAGAACGCTGAATCTGGAAATATAGGAGCATCTTTAGTTGAATTGTTGGATGTCCTTTTTGGTTGGACTCTCGTAACATTTTTAATGAGGAAATAATTCAATTCAATTTTCAATTCAATTTATTTTTGTATAGCGTCAACTCATAACAAGTGTCATCTCAAGACACTTTACAAAAAGCAGGTAAAATACGTTACTCTTTGTTAACATTACGAAAGAGCAGGTAAAAAGCCCTTACTTATTGCTATATTACAAAGACCTGGCCTATCCATCATGAGCACTTTAGCAAAGCAGCGAAAGTTACAGTGGTAAGAAAAAAACTGCCTTATTAAAAGGCAGAAATCTTCGGCCGGATCCCCGGCCGAAATAAGTAAAGCTTTGTTTTTTACCAAGAGAGTCTCCCTCTTGTGGCCCTTAGAAAGAAGATAGGTCTAAGGTATTTCCCCGTTGGCATAACTTTTGACCCAGGTTGTAACGACCACTTCTTAAATACATAATCAGTCAAGTCAATGAAATACAAAGCTGCTCATCACTGCCTTCTCTGGTGAAACATTTACAGCAATTTGATTCATGATGACAGATTAACTATGCGGGAAACAAACACTGAACTCATTAATGTATATATAGGATTTAAACATTTTAAAGGACACATTTTGACTTAATGGATTTAGCTTTTGTAGAGAAGTTTAAGAGTGATTATTTATATTTAG